ATTGGTGACCCAGGTAAAGAACTCCCTGTATGAGTTAGAGATCTAGGTTCGTGTCTCCCTCAGCTGACTAGTGGCTGTGGAAATTTAAGCACTTTCTTTTATCATCTTAATCTGTAATTAAAGAGATTACACTAGAGTTCATATTCATAATTATTTGGGGGCCAGAGCCTTCTCTGAAACTCTGCTGAAAGCTATAGATCGTCTACTTCCCCCGAATAATACGAACACAATTATAAATACCCTTTCAGAAGCCTCAGAGTTTCCTTTAAATCCCTCGAGCACCTTAGAATGATTGTTGAGATTTAAACTATATGGTTTAAAAAAAGAACCCTTGTATATTTGCTACTGCTATGTGAATCAGATTTTAAATATGGAACTTGGTCATTTCCACCATTTGAGGCTGTACAAGTAATGACTTCTTTGTAAGGGACAGTACCCATAATACACCAACGAATCCAGTAGCAGAGCACATCTATATTTAATGACATCGCAGTGTTAGAGAGGCTAATAGCCCACCCTGATATTCAATGTGGTGTCCCCTCTAAAATATTCTACGTAGATCTATATTTAGCGTTGACTACAACACAGAGTAATGGGGAATTCACTGAAATCCTTATGGCTAGGTATAATTTAGGAGTCTTCATCCTTATGTTGGTGTTAGGTGTCGTGGAGTTTGTTCTGACCCATTACAACCCTACGTGCAACAGAACAAAAGGCTCCTTCACCTTGGGTCAAACACCACCACCCCACCACCACCACCCCCGTTATTACACATAGGCTTGGACCCCATTACAGCCATTGTGTCAATCCATCTCATTGGGCTCTTATATTTCACTAACACTCTATTTTACCAAACATGATGTTCTGTCTGAGAGACTGGCCCTGACAGTTAGCTCTCTTAACCTGGTGACTTTGCTGCTATGAATACCATCAACCATGCCGAAAGTTCTGTCTTTGGCTGCAGTTGGGTAGTGTTGAAATTGTGGTTATTTAAAAAATTAAAGTGTTAGACTGTTAACTACAAGGTTGGTGGTTCGATCTTTCCAGCAGCTCCTCAGGAGAAAGGTGAGTTTGTCTGCTTCCGTAAAGAAGGAAACGCTGTCTGAGGTAACTATAAGCCAAATCTCCTCAATGGCATAAGTAGTGGTTTAAAACAATGAAGTGTAATAAAACTCTGATGTTCTCATTTCCTATTTTTTTAAAGATCAAAATAATAATTCAAAATGCATATTGACAACTGATGGTGTAGTCCCATATTCCATCTATTGAAAATCTTTTGGAATAGTACTTATATCATTCGTTGTGTTATCTTTCTTTCAAAGGTCCATATCATCTATAAATATAATAAGCCTACCTTCTTTTACTTCAAAATAATTGATAAAAATCAGCCAGTGGTTTGACAAATAAAAGCCCTTTGTTTGTAATTGTTTGCACAGTCACCATTGTCATCCAACTGATGTTTAAGAATATGATCTGCAGACTGGAAATACATGAGTGTTATGTTCTATTTAGGGGGCAGGGCTGCTAGACCTAGGGACGATAACATTTCTTTCCCCTTTTACTCAATTCACTTTCTTTCCCTTTAATCCTATTTTCTTCATTCTTTCATGCATCCATGCTGCACTTTATGATCCCTTTCTTGGGTGTCCATTACACTGTAAAGAGAAGAATCTCCCTATCTTTTTGGAAATTCCGATTTTACCTGCGTGCATGCGTGCTGGCTCACTCTGTGCTTCGTACAGGAGCTGAGCCCGAGAACCTGGGTTTAGGGGAGTGTTTTCCTCACACTGATTAGCATTTGGCAGATGAACAGACTTTCAGAAATTCATCAACCCTTCTAGTTCAATTTGCTTTTCTCTACTTTGAGAGTTACTCAACTACCAAATGCATTTTTAAAGGACATTCACTTACAAAGTATATGCATGTTTGGGGATGTGCCAAGAAGTGCAGAGAGAAAGAAATTAAACAATCTTCAGAAGTCTTTGCATTTTAATCTCAGCAGCATTACATCAATTAAAAAAGAAAGTTGCTTCTTTCAGAATTTAAATTTACTACCATCAAGCCAATTCTAACTCATAGTAACCCTATAAGACAGGCTAGCAATGCCTTTGTGCATCTCTGAGACTAACTCTTTATGGGAATAGAAAGCCTTCTCTGTTACCCAAAATATTGCTGTTAGAAACTAGAAATATTGCCTTATATGCTATTTCAAAGCAAAAATTAACCAACCAGCCAAGATCCAATGGAAAGATGGCATTAGTGTAAACTGAATTGAAATTCAAGATTTCTTATTGATGATCTACAAAACCCCTCTGTGATCATGTCCTTAGCCTGTGTCATCAAAGGTCATAGAAGCCTCAAAGAAGTTCATCTCACGTATGGATAGATAAAGAATAAAACTTCACGACGTCTGTTCCACGAGTAATTTATCTTAAGTTATATGGCACTCTTACATAATGTGACAATAATTGTCATGCAGGGAATTAAATGTGGACCCGAGTAAGCAAGTAGACCTATAGGCAAGTGCAGGAAGCAGTTGGTTGATAGTTTAATACTTTGGATCTTTTGATTCCTGATTGTTTTCCATGTGCAACTTCTGGAGATACTCTTAGGAGATAAATCAAGGTTGGCATTAAGTCTGTAATTTGAATCAAAAGAAAATTGTCTTGAAAACTATTTTATTACTTCATAGTTCCTTTGTGAAAGAGAGGTATGAGCTGAAGTCAACTGATCCTTTGCAAACTTTTTTGTTATTGTTATTTATTTATTTAATTAAAAGGTCATTTACTGGGGGCTCTTACAGCTTTTATAACAATCCATACATCAACTGTACAAGCATATTTGTACAAATGTTGCAATCATTATTTTCTAGACATTTACTTTCTATTTGAGCTCTTGGTATCAGCACCTCTTTTTTTTTTTGGAAAACCTTAAAGCCCAGACAACCTGAATTTGGAAGAGAGGATGGTAGGGGACTCAATGCTTCCATATTTCAGAGGGAATCCCAAGATTTTCTAAACCAAGTTAATTGCTACACTACATCAATGATAAATTCTAGAAAATGATGTTATCATCCAAAAAGCTAATGGTGAGAATGAATTGGGGCCTAATAGCCATGGAACTGTATGATTCATTCAGTCAGTCAGTTAGTCAGTATATGTTGAGGGACACTCGTGTCAGAACTTGTCTTTGGACCACAGGGCCATTATAATTTTTAATAAATCACTTATCTTCTCTGAGTCTAAATATATCATCTAGGAATTTCCTCATGGAGTTGTTCCTAGGACTCTGACTCATGTATGTAAGACTCTATCCAGCAGACAGATTGGGTGCTCAATGAACTGCTTTCCCTGATCCTTAACATTCAAACTGTTTTTTCATGAGCTGTATAATAATATAGAGTAAATTCCACTTATTACTAACAAATTTCTCTCTACAGTCTTAGGTCAACAGGAATTATGAGTGATCTGTTTGTAGATGAAATTAAAGTATTTAAATATTATTACAACTGATCAAATATTTTTGCAAAGATAGTCCACCGAGCCCAAGGAAGTCATTCTTTGTCAAATAGCACTGAGACTTGTTGACTGTAGCATGTGCAAATCCACATTTTCTTCAATCTGTTTGTTTCATAGTGAATGTGAGCTGAACTTTTTATTTTTCAATTTGAGATGGAGTGTTTTGGGGTAATACTTATGAGAAATCTAATTAAATCAATTTTCATAGAATATAAAAATATATACAATCTTCTAGGTTAATAATGATCTATACATGTAGGAGTTAAAAGACCCAAAAGAAATGAGCAATAATTGTATAGGCCAGCTTGTAATAGCTGCCTTCTAATTATACTCCAAATTTGAATTGATTTTTAAAAAAACTCACAAAGGAAATATATAATGGATCTCCCAAGGAAATATATCATATCATTTGTTACTTTGTTATTTCAGTGGATCACTTAGGAAGTAACTATTAATGGAAACCTACTGCTTATCAGTCACTATGCCTAGGACTCTAAATCGAAGCTGCCTAATCCTTGACATCAAGAAGTCTGCTCTAATATTTAGGAAGATCTGTAAATATACGCAGTTCTATGAGATAAGTGATCCGAAACAAGGCGATTCAAGAGCACTGAAGGTATATTAGGAAGACACGCTGAGTCTACCTGGGGAGTTGGGGAAGCACACAGCGGAGGCAAATAGAAACCGAAGGATGAATGAATGGGTGAGTGCCAGGTGGCTAAGTAGAACAATGATGTTTAGCAATGGAAATAGAATAAGGAAATTATGGGAATGTTGAGTGTTCCTGAAGTTATCAGGGAACAGGGAATGATTACAATAACATTGCTTAAGCATAAATTATTATGAACAGAAGAGCAGGAACAGTAAGAATTAGCTCTAATAAGCAGTAAGCGCTGGATCATACAAGGTTTGTATCTTCAGCAAAAGTACACCAATTTTCCCCATTCTCTGAGGGTTGTGAGGGAAGTTATTGAATAATTTTGAGTAGAGAAGTTTCAGGATCAAATGCAGACATTCAGAGTCCTAAAGAAGATCAGCAATATTGTGGTTCTTTTGTTGTCTACAAGTTCCAGAAATGGCACAAACACGAAAATAAAGGTCTTTTGTTCCTGGGAGTTTCAATGGTTCTCGTTGTAATAGAAGAGCTCAGGGGTGCCAAAAGAAATATTTGAATTAAATGATACACAGGAATTACAATAGAAGCCTGTGAGCAGATTTTAGGTTAGCGGGTTTTTTAATAGGCTGTGATGAAATTCTTCATAGAGAAGATGGAATGATGAAAGAACCTCCCTCTAATGGAAATTTGGTCGGGTATGTTTTTTATTGTTCAGTCAAGTAAAAGGGAGGCATTGTTGAGATTCTTGAAGAAAAACACATACACACCAATGAAAACTTTTTACTGATTTTTTTTTCAGACCTTGAACAGTGAATCTGCCAGAAGTAAATCTCAATTGGAGTTGACCATCATTTTTATAATTTCAGGGGTTAAGCATGTGAAAGGCCAGAATGGATCAGCCTTTCCTGAAGAAGAAGAAGGTGTAAATGAGAGAGAGGAGCCGTGGGATCATTAATTATGGATCTGCAGCAAGAAAGGTGCCTGGAAATAACAGAACTATGAACTTTTCTGAATATCCCATGAGCCCCACTGCTTGATTTCCAGAGAGCATTCCTCATCTCTGCACTCTACGCATATAGTGGGAACACATCCTCTGGGGAGCCCTCCTGGACGGAACTTTAGAACTAAGTACACATTGTTCCAGATTACTTATAATCAAAAAATAAACCTTTATTTTATGGTGACTTTTCTTTTTAACAACTTAGAAATTTGCAAACATATGTGTGTTATAACTTTAATACTATCAAAGCTTAATCCTTGATATCCTACTGATATGGTTTTGCCTTCTAAGGTCAAATGTAAATGTAAATAGCATCACTTTAAGAGTGAAAAATAAGTATTAAAATAGTTAGACATAAGTGTGTTGGTTTAACTTAAAAAGGAATGTTTAATAAAAGTGGACTTTAAAGTGAAAATCATTATTTATCATGTTTCTGTATACAGACAAATACGCAATCAGATTTCAAAGTGAGGAAGAAATGCCAACTATTTTGATGCCCAGACCGCATCCTTCTTGCTAAGATATGATTTGTGACTTAAAGAACCACAGAATCACCTCCCTTTTTGATGTTATTCAAGATATTGTCCAGCATTTCTACTTAAGATAAAAAAAGGCATAATTAAAATTGAATATGTCAAGTCCTAGGCCCACTTTAGGGTCATTCTTGAAATATGGGCCATCTATTTCCAACTGCAGCTTAATGAATCACTAGTACTTTACAAATCTGCTACATAATAGTTTATTAATCCAGGTATATTATTGCAGTCAAACATTCATTAATTCAGCAACTACTTTTATGACATTATCCCTGGGAAGGCACTCTTTTGGGAATTATTAAAATGAAAGAAAGATAATTTTTCCCTCTAGAGCTGACAGAGAAGTTAATGCATCAATAAAAGGCAAAGTTTTCCAAGAAAGCATGCATTCATCACAAAAAAAATTACAGTTTTTGCAAGTTCAAACTTCTGGTTTTCTGAGAAATATCAACCATTTATTCACTTATTTCAAATTATTTACCCTACAAAATTTAATGGGAATGTAGATATGCCTAATTTATTTCCCACCTTTGATGATATTACTGATGTTCAAATGTGTCCTGGATTAAAAAACAAAAAAGGAAAAGATTTTTCAAAATCCAGTAAAGAGGGAAATTAAGAAAAAAGAGCAAGACAGTTGCAAAATCCACTGTGAAATCTTTATATCAAGATTGTAAGAAGTAAAATGATTGTGTTTACATTTGAATATGAGCCTTACAAAATAGAACCTACGAGTCTTGTGGCGTTCAAGAAAACCCTATGGGGTAGTCCTGCCTCTTCTGTTTCCTGGGACCTGAAATCAATTTGAAGGTAGCTAAGAGCATAAGAAAATACAATGAATAGTGAATGAGGGGGGGAATGCTGAGTGGAGACCCAAAGTCCATTAGTAGGCCACTGGAGATCCCCTTGCACAGGGGTCTCGGGGAGGAGATGAGCCAGTCAGGGTGCGACGTAGCAACGATGAAAAAGTCCAACGTTCCTCTAGTTCCTAAATGCTTCCTCCACCCCCCCCCACCCCCACCCCCACACACACACACTACCAAGATCTGAATTCTACCTTGCAAGTCTGGCTAGACCAGAGGATGACACTGGTAAAAATGGGAACTGGAAACACAGGGAATTCAGGGTGGATGATCCCTTCAGGACCAGTGGTGTGAGTGGCGATACTAGGAGGGTAGAGGGAGAGTGGGTTGGAAAGAGGGAACCGATTACAAGGATCTACATGTGACTTCCTCCCTGGGGGACGGACAACAGAAAAGTGGGTGAAGGGAGACGTCGGACAGGGCAAGATATGACAAAATAATAATTTATAAATTATCAAGGGCTCATGAGGGAGGGAGGGGAACAATGAGGATCTGATGCCGGGGGCTTAAGTGGAGAGGCAATGTTTTGAGAATGATGAGGGCAATGAATGTACAAATGTGCTTTACACAATTGATGTCTGTATGGATTCGGATAAGAGTCCTATGAGCCCCTAATAAAATGATTTAAAAATGATTTTTTTTTTAAAGAAGCTACAATGAAGATAAAATCTATTTTCTGGGGAAAAAAGAAAGAAAACAACATGTAAGCAAGGAGCAGCACCAGAGTCTGAATGAGCTACCCTGTGTCCACCCTTCTTCCGCCTCCGCCTCCTTTGCTCCGCCTCCTTTGCTCCGCCTCCTTTGCTCCGCCTCCTTTGCTCCGCCTCCTTTGCTCCGCCTCCCAGCTCTCTCCCTCCCCTCCCTGCGTGTCCTTCTGGCTCTTGCTGAAGCCTTCAGACCACCTGCTGAGGCTCTTCCTTTGCTTTTCAAAGTTTCTCTCTACTTAAAATTGGATTAAGCCCCCTATTTATTTGGAATGATTCAGAGTTATTTGTACTTGGAGAACATCCAGACACCTCTGGACATCACTGAAGACACCCCGGGGTGCTGAAAAATAAAAAGGCCCCTCCTGTCCTTTAGCTGACACTTTCCTAAATGTCCTTCTGAGAATTCAGACAAACAGAAGAAACCAAACCTTTTGCTGATTTTGTAACAGCCTGGGGGGAATAAACTGCAGTTTCTGGTTTCTCCTAGTTCATTCTCTTGTTCTCCAAAGCACAGAGAGACAAAAACTCAAAGCATGCATTTCCTTTAAGTAACGTTGGTTTCTTCTACACTGAGACCAAAACACAGAGTTAAAAATTAAAACCTTATATTTCCCTTGGGAAATATGTTGACTTTCTCAGAAATTTGAAGGAAACCATTGGAGATAATGCCTTTTCAGTTTCCCCTTTATCACACAACTAAGGTTTGCAAAGCAGTTTTTCTTTCTCAAAAAGACAATTTGGTTTCAGTTTGGCTGAAGCCAAAGAAACTTCCTGACCAAAATTGGAAGAAAAAAACTAAAAAAACCCGAACAACCAAAAAGTCTGTATTACAAAGTTTGGATCACATTTGTAGTATAATATAATGGCTAATAGATGGACTTTGGGTCACTGTGACTTAGATTCATTTCAGCTCCTACCAGAATTTTGATTCAGTTTTCCATCCGTAATATGGAGACAAGTAGGCCCATCCCACTGGGTTATGGTGAGAATTAAATGAAATAAGATCTTTTAAAAAAAGCTTCCCTTTTTTTAGTGGGTACTTGATAACTGATTCTTATTACTATCATTAAGAGGCAATGGTGGACCACTAGTAGTGTAGCTCACAAGTTGAGGTGGAGAACTAGCTAAAGTAGCCACACTGCTGGTCTGATCACCAGAGACCAAGAGAAAGAGGGGTGGGGCTTGCTGAGCCATTTATCTCTTTGCCCTCCAATTAAATTGCAACCTTATTAATCCCACACCTTCCTATTGGCTAGATTGGTACAATAAACCTACTTATCACAGTCCATCCTTGCCAACTTGGCACCTGTACACAATTTGTTCGCCATATGTAAGTTCTAGACATTAAAGAAATGACACTTATACCTAACATCATACATGAACAAATGAAAGATAATCAATAAGCACATGTAAAGAAGATCAACTGACAGTCACAAAGCTTGCTTTTGCAATTGATCACCTGGTTGTAACTGATAGGTAGAACTACCTTCTACCACCCATTCTGAATTACGTTTGCCCAAAGCCAGCACCTCAGCAGGCTGTCGTTGTCTGCCTGGTGGGGTGACCCAGACCTTCATTCCTGAGGGGTCTGGGTCCCGTCCTGTCAGGATTGGGTTGCTGTAATTTACCATTTACTTTAATCACAGGGCATGGTAGTACTAAGAAACAGCCTACAGGATCTCCTGGATTCCAGACATATTCTTCTTTACCTCCATTATGTAACCAGTCCAATTTCTCCTTGGTAATCAAGATCAAACACACCACTCAGTACAGTGACACCTTCCTGACCTGTTGATCCAAAGGCATGAGAAGCCCAAAGTGGCCAGGGGGCATTCTCAACTGTCATTTCTAATGGTGTCCACTTAGTCTTTCCTACCATCATAACCCTATTCAACATTTCAGGGATCCAATATGGGGGTTCTGCCAGTTACTAAGTATTCCAATGATGCATTATGGAACTGGGGAAATAACTACAGGATGGGTTTTGGGGACCCATGGTGAGGTGTACCTGAGCTGAAAAACCATCGATAATTTGACCTCCATATGCCCCTACTCTGACTGGTGGGCCTTCAAAATATTTGGGTCTCCTGGAAATAGTGTCACTTCTGAGCCAGTGACCAGTAATCCCCCAAAAGTTTGATTATTTCCTTTTCCCCAATGAACAGTCACTCTTGTGAAAGGCCACAGGTCCCTTTGGGGAAGGCTAGAAGAAAGCCTAACAGTATAGACCTTAGCTGATGTAGTAGGGTCCTTCTTCAAAGGGACCTGGCCTTCCCCGAATTCAAGGGGTTGTGGGTCTGTAAACTAGCTCAGGTTTGGGAATTGACTGAGCGATCGTGACTCTGTTCTGCTGCTCACCTGATCTACCATTCTTCTGCCTGTATAGATCATGTAAATATTTAGTAGGTTTCCCATCTATTTCACTCCTAGGGACACCGTGGCTAAATAGCCAATGACATGAGTCCACACGAAACAGGTTGCTTTAATTACTACGGATACCTTGCTATCTATAACAATAACCACATCCACTCAGTCTCTGTGATTCAGTGCTGACACCTGCCCTCTTCCGCCACGGGGCCCAATCAGCCCCAGTGTAGGCAAATGTCAGAGTCTGCTTAGGGCAGTTCCCACTGTTAATCCTGGTGCACATAAAATAGCACTCACAGGAGTCTTCAGAGATGCTGGTCCCACTTCACAAACTTGTTCCTTATGGTTGTCGTGAAAGGTATGTCCTCGGGGCACTCCCTTTTTGGGTCTATGGGATTATCCTGATAGATCCATTCCAACATACCAATTTCCCTAAGCTTTTGGATACCTTCTTTTTCAGTGTAGCGAGGCAGGTCAAGTACTTCAAGTTGGTCTAAACTAGGCCATCTGGCAGCCCATGCTTCAGTGAACCAACCAAATAAGCAAGACATTGAAAGAAGAGACATTGCTGAGACATTGCAAGAAGAATCTGTGCTTAGGGGCCCCATATCAAGAAACTCAGACTGGTCTAAAGTTACATTCCTTGTACCAGTATCCAACACCCTTCCCATTCCCAGGGATATTCCCCAGGCTTCTGCTTCTATGTGTTAGAAAACTCAAGCAGATCTTTATGAGAATTAGCATACTTCTTCCTGAACCTGACCTTTAGGAACTTTCTAAGAC